AGGAAATACAAAAAGTGAGGCCTATAAAAATTAACGAGCGAATTAATAAAATACATAGAAAACTAATAATATTATATCTATAGCTACTATGTATCTAATAAAGGCATTACCATTGGGCATTACTTTTAAACATTATGTGAATGCAAATCTGTTCAGGGTAAGTAACACCCGATAAAGAAACTCTCCGTTGCGATATCGGGTGTTACATTCAAATTTGCGAACGTGATCCAAACGGGTGTTACTTACCTCCATGCGGCCGGGCTCGGGCTCGACGCGTTCCTATTGAAATTGGTTGCGTTTACGTTTTCGCAATGAGCTTTTAGTACATTTACGTTATGTTTCAGAGAAAATAATTACTAAATTATTGTCAATTGCTATGCATTATAAATTAATAAATAGTAGTTTTTTTATTTTTTTATCTCCAAAAAGTTTAGGGAAGCGGTGCTTCCCCCGCTTCCATGGACCGCACGCCCCTGCTTTAGACCCCACCTTTCGGAAGAAAATTTAAAGTTTAACCATTATTAATTGAAACTTCATAAAAAAGGCGGCTCAGTTGATCTCTTTGAAGTCACGTTGGAATCCATAGGCGTCTAAATATTATTATCATGACAAATGAAAACAAATTGGTTAATAAAGAATAAACATACTCCAGAAATTTCTATACAAAACTGAAATGAAGAACGCCATTGCCCCGAAATTCTAGCTGATTTACTTCTAGAATACAGTGGAGTTAATACTTTAAATAAATGGGCAACATTCATATAGTAGGTAATCCTCAAAATTCCGTTTTAAACTATTGAAATAAATCAAATATAAATATTTGAATGGGAATATTATTCCTTTATTAAAAATTCAAATTTGAAATTGAGTTTTATTCAATTATCTGTGTAATTTTATACTTTTGTCCACTTTTAAAGAGAATATCTAACACTGTCAACAAAAGCGGCTCAGCTTTGTCGGCATGCGTTAAAGCCCAGCGGCATCGCCGACAATTTTCAAGTTTTTTTGCCGGCGTGCGGTGTCTTTGTTATAGTGTACCAGGACTAGGCATAAAAATATAAAAATTATTTTATTTTATATTATTATAAGGGGTATTTTTCTAATTTTGAGTAGTCACCATAGAGATGCGATTTTCAATTGATAATGGTAATACTTTACCATCTTATTAGACCATAAACTTTTACAATGGTTATTTAACGTAAAAGAACCAGGTTCTAAATTAGTGCGTTGGAGACTAAAACTATCGGAATATGACTATGAAATTAAATATAAAAAAGGGACACTAAATATGAATGTAGATGCATTATCGAGACCTCCGACACAAATTCATGCCATTCATTCATCAAACCCTAAAGCTAAATTAACAAATTCTGATGATGAATTTCATAAACAATTAGGAGAAATGTTAAAACATACTCCATTAATAATTAAAAAATATTTCATGGAAACTGAGCTTTATAAGCCATCCAAAAGTAGATCCTAATCAAGAGATATTAATATTAAAACCTAAAGAAAAATCGAGGAATAATATAATTTCGCAAATAATTATACCTCCAAAAGAAAAGAAAAAAATTCTAATAAAAGTAGGAGAATCTTCAAAGGCCCAAAGAAATGAAAGAAAATCTTTATCTAAACAAATGACAAATTCTGAAGATGAGCAAACAATAACAGCACCTTCAGAAGATGAACGAGCCTAAATGTATTTAATAATCAAGTAATATTTAGATATTCGAATAACAGTAATATTCGGAAAGAAATTGTTAAACTATTTCCCAATAAAAAGAGAATAATATTCTTTTTACCGAATGAACCTTCTATAATGAATAAATAATCAATTCGATTAAAGAATATATACAAACTAATGAAACCTCTATTGTCTTCATTTCCTGAATAGGACGTTAGAACCTATAATTATACGAGTATTACAAACGGCGTTCAATGCTAAATCGTTTAGGTTATACATTTCTAATTCCTTAGTGGAAGACGTTATAGAATTTGACGAACAACAAGAAAAAATTAGGTTTTTCTATGAGACCAAAACATCCCATAGAGGAATAACAGAAAATATTTTGGCATTAAAGAAACGATATTATTGGCCAAATATGGAAAAAGATGTCCAAAAATATGTCAAAGCATGTGAAATATGCAACAAGGCTAAATACGAACGGCAACCGTATAAAATAATATTTAAGCCAACGACAATCGCAACAAAGCCCTTCGAGCATCTTTACATAGATACTTATATCAATAATAACCAGAAATGTCTAACTATTATTGATAGTTTTTCAAAATTTAGTCAAGCATATCCAGTAACTACAAAAACAGCTGTAGAAATTACAACACAGCTATCAAAGTATTTTAGCGACCATGGAATTCCAAAGAGAATTACATCAGATAATGGAGCAGAATTTAAAAATGCTATCATTACAGATTTATGTACATTGTATAATATCGAATTTCACTTTATACAACTCCGCGGAATCCTAATTCAAATAGTCCTATAGAAAAACTTCACTCAACATTGCGAGAGAGTATAACAAGTTCAAAATTAACAAATCCTAATAAAAACATAATTGATCTTATGATACTTGCTATACATACTTAACTATAACAACAGTACGCATAGCGTAACAGAATATACATCTTTTCAAATCATCAAAGGTGATTTGAAATATGCAGTGCCAATCGAGCAGTCCCCAATAATTTGACCACTGATTATATCATTAATTTGGCAGAATCTCTAGAAAAATTAAACAATGAGAATCAAAATAAATTATTGATAAAATAAAATAAGATTCTTGAAAAATGTAAACAAGAATAGAGAAAAAGAACCCGTCTCATCTTTATTAAACAATTTAATAAAGATAAAATAAGCCCATGTTACGATATTAATATACAACCGCGCTTTGGCAAACAAAATGTAAAGCGACAATAATATCACGTTTCAGGTAGCAGAATAAAACTAATCTTAGTCATCATTATTATAGAAATCGCCCAAGCAATATACAGGACGACAACTTTGGAGAATCCAAAACTTCCTATTTTTTTAGGAACAGCTTACATGACTAATCAATACAACACAGTTTATTACCACATAAATACAACAATAATATTAAAAAGTGTACGAAAGTTAGGTTAGAATCGGTATTACCCAAACTAACAAAAATACTAAATGACACAACTTGGTCAAAACACTTTTCGACACTGTTTCAAACAAATATTGAAACTAGTAAATCTCAAATCAAGCTCATGTAACAAACGATAAAGATTCTTAATAATAAAAGAAATAAGAGAGGATTACTAAATTTCATGGGTACAGCACAAAAGTGGCTTTATGGTACCTTAAATGCAGAAGACGGAGCAAGGTATGATCCGTACATTCAAACGTTAAATGAGAATCAGCAAACCCTTGAAAATAATTTAAAAAGTCAATCCCAAGTTCTTAAACAAGTAACTAAAAGGTTTCATGATCAATTTTTAAATATTGAGATAAACCAAAAGGTCATAACGGATAAAATAAAAAATATTTCCATTGATAATGAAAATATTCATACAATGTTAGATTTAAATTTAATATTGAACAATATCCATATGGAAAGTAATAAAATCAAAGATCTAATCGATCATATTCAGCTTGGAATAAATTTTGCAGTTAGGCGTTATGCACTATACTATTTTGCAACACAATGAGTTGAATCAAATATAAGCAAATAATCCGAAAAAAACAACAAATATTTGATAATAAAATCAAATACCACGAAACAATGATTACTCAAGTGAGAATTCAGGAAGAGCTAATAATATTTGTAATTTATACACCAATGATCAATCTAAGACCATTTCTATTGTACAAAATTTATCCTATCCCTATTCAAGACCTTACCATAGACACTAAGTACCCTTACCTTATACTCACTACCGAAAGTTACTACAATTCATATATGGAATGCCCTAAAGTAGAGGATGTGTACTTTGAGACATTGAAACAAGAAGATTCGTGCATCTATGATCTTATAACTGAAAGATGGCACGAGTATCCTTTCCTGAAGATACATTATGAAGACCCTGATTCGAAAATATAATTTGTTTACGTTCTGGTTTGTTATTGGCAGGTGGGTTCTTTTCTTTTGGGAAATCTTTCCCTAGTTTCTCTGTAAATTCTGGCGGCTAAATGAGCATTTTGCAACGATTCTGGGTAAACAGGTATTTGCATATTCGACGTTTGTAAACATTTTATTAAAAAAAAAAAAAATGAATTTGAATTACCCGCGTTTCCAAACTAGACAAGACAAATCAAGAATCAATTTATCAGTTCAACCAAGGTTCATCCACTCATTCTTTATTGTGCTATGTTGCCAGATGTTTAGAAACCGATTTACAAGTGAAATTTTTATGTTGTTTTTTCAATTTTTTGTTATTGTTGTTGACTAAAAATGCATAATTACTTAATAATTGAATAAACCAAATTTTTGTTACATCTTTATCTCTAAAATATTCGTCAAACAATGTCAAAACTTCAAAGGCCTTTTTCTTAAAAATGGTTGAGTTTTGACCCTATCAAATCAAAGATTGCTATGGGTTTTTAAACGTACGTCTTAGCAATATTTTTCTTTAATTTTGTCAATGAACTTCAATGTCAAAATGTCATGTCGAATATCCTGACCAATAAAGAAACAATAATGCGACGTACGTTTTCGTAACCAAAGCAATCTTTAATTGTTTTTTTTTTCGAAGACCCGATATAAACTTTTTTTGTTCAAAATGGGACATATTTTCACGTGTTAAAATTTTCGTAGTCAAACCTGATACACCCTGTATAGAGAAGGAAACATTTTGATAATAAATGGCAATCGTAATTTTCCACTTGTGTACCTCCTTATACCACTAAATTACAAGTTTATTTGAAATCTTATGATGACGCACAGCAGATGTTGCAACCTATGACATTTTCTGATTTTGTCTCGATAATTATAGTACATCCATAATTCTACTCCTATTACCTTTCTTTCTCCTTCCATTCTGTTAACATTTTCTTCATAATTATTTGTTTGTGACAACCTGGCACTAGCTGATCTCGTAAACTGCTCTTGAGCTGCATTTCTAACACTAGTCGTCAAATTTTGTTCGTGCCCTAACGGATACTCTCTAGAAATACTATCATTTTCGATATCTTGAGCGCAGAGCAGAGAACCTTCACTCAAAGCACTCCGACTTCTCACAGGTTGTAAAGTAGGAGTTTGCTGATCCCTGAACGGTCTATTATAGGCATAACCGTTAAGCATATCCAATTCGTATTGTTCCCTATGTTTTCTATGACTAGGATCCACTTGTTGGTATTTGACAGGCATTTTTTGTAAATACTGAGCACTTTTACGCATTTTTTCAGCATAGCGTTCTTGAGAATAAAAATAATCGTTGTCCCTCTGCCTACTTCCAACAAAATAGCTGTTGGGCATTGGCTCACAATAATCTTTGGAGTACATGTTGATATCCAAACTAGACTTTGGCCTCACTTGTTGAGATACTGGCGTAACGGACGGATTGGATTCCAGTTTGTCCGGCTTATATTCCAAAAAGTCTGCACTGTGAGGTCTGGATATAATCGTTTGTGGTGGTGGTTTTCTCATAATAACAGGATCTGGATAATGAGGTCTTAGCATTTCTATTGATGGAGGAGCGTAGGCGACATTTACAGTAGGATAGGTTTTTTTGAGCACATTATCGGCAGCAACAGGACTCAAAGGCCTTTTATAAGCGGTTTGTTCGCTATAAACATCTTCATAATCTGATGGGTTTCTATATTTAGACATATTACTTCTTGCGTAAGTATCTGGAGTTCTTCTGTCTAAATTTTGAGGCCCTAAAAACACTCTATCGTTATATATTCGCTCTTGGGGGTGCATTTGTCTTCCGTAAACACTGGAAGCGCCACTTCTAGGCCCTTGATAGTTGGGATATAACATTTCTGGTCCGGGTGAACAGTAACCGTCAACCAGTCTTCTTGGTTTTGGTGGAGCATTTGCGTATAGGTGTTGGCTATACTGAATCATTTCTTGCTGACTGGAGTTACTTGATGTGTGAGTATGTGTAGGATTGGGTCTGCTTGGAGTATTTGTGTGGTTTCCATAAACACTGGCTTGTCCTGATACTGTACTTGTGTTGAAGTGGTTGGGGTCGGAGTTGTTTGGCTGGTTTCCTTGCTCTTTCGTTGGCTCTCTGAAAATAAAATCACAATTTTTTTCTGAAAATGACGTGTTAAAACAGAAATGTCCTTACATATTATTTTGGAGGTTGCAAGCTAAACTCAGCAAATGGATCCATTGCATCATGAGATCTTGCGAGTCGGCGGCCAATATATAAGTTCGCATGTTGGCGTGCTCACACTTGAAGGCGTACTTTCGGTTGACTTTGTCTTCGGGTCCACACACAGAGACTTTGTAGGATGGAAGCAAGATAGAGCCTAGCAACTTTTCTTCTTGTAGTCCTGAAAATGGGATTTTGCTGATAAAAAATTAAACAGTTACAAGAGGTGAACATCGTTAGCTGATTTAACTTATATCATCATGTGTAGTATGAACCATGTAGCACTTTAAAATACAACTTAAATATCGGAAGAAGATTGGGTTTTTTCTTCTTATTGAAGATACAAGAACATTTTCGAACAACAAATTAGCTTTGACTCTGACGAATCAACAAACGCTTGAACACCTTGACTGTATGTACAATAACGGAAGTACAAGTAATGTTTTATGTTTGGGGAAATATAGAGAGAAAAAAGGTGAAATACAGAAAAAATAAAAAATACAGTAATACATAAATATAATAAAATAAATAAATAAAAAAGATAATAACAATTAACAAGAAAGAATTAGAGGATATCAGGATATCAAACGTTTCGATACTGATGTTTGTCATCCGTCATCCTGATCAGAGATAAAAACCAACTTGAAAAATCACACAAAATGGAGTTTTGGGCAGGGCCACAACTAGAACTCACGGCGCCCAAGGCAAATCCAGATTTTGGAGCCTAGTACTAATTCTACCACTATATAAAGATACAGGATGATCAATAATTTATCATCTTTAATTTCTAATGTAGAAAATCTTTCACGGGACCGGTAATAGAAAACAATAATTCTACCCACTGTAATTTGACTCTATTAAGATACAAAGTGATCAATATTTTATTATTTCCGGCTCTTGTTGGAAATCTTCTACGAAAGCTGGTAATTGAAAACAATTCCACCACTGTTTAAAGATACGAGGTGATCAATTTTTTATTTTCCTTGGGTCTTAATTTAAAGAATTTTTCACGAGAGCCAGTAATAGCAAACAATTTTACCCACTGTAATTTGATTTAACAAAAATAAGTTACCATATAAAGATACAGAGTATCTAATCAATATTTTATTATTCTCGGCTCTCGTAGGAAATCTTTCACGAGAGCTGCTAATCGAAAACAATTTTACCACTGTGTAAAGATACAGGGTGATAAATATTTTATTATCCTCGGCTCTCAACGTAGAAAATCTTTCACGAGAGCTTGTAATAGAAAACATTTTTTCCAAATTCTCATCACATTTAACACAATACAATTCGTGAGTGTAATCTGGTTCATCATATAGCTTTTTGTCTATGGAAACCTGATTTTATCAATTTCCTTGTCGTTTAGTTCGTAAGAGATTGATTCAAAAAGAAATGCTCCTGCATTAATGGTCAGATCACATTTTCCTGTTTTTTCAGTTTTATTTTCTTCTTATATTTTTCCTTCTATATACAATATAGACCTCGGCTTGACTGATATCCATAAACACATCTTGCTGATTGAGAACAATTTCGATTTCGTCATTATAGTTTGAGAGATTTGGTGAAAGGATGGTAGGTATGCCATTCTTCTCTCGCTATGGACTCATCGGTGTTGACCGGTTGAAATATTTGAAGTTTTCTTGACGCGATATCCATATTTAGTAGCTATGGTTTGGCTAATTTCTAATTTAATCGCTATCGCAGCAGTTGTTTAAAATATTCTCTACATACACGTCTCATCAGACGTACGAAATGTGAAGGTTCCGCTGAGAGCTGATACCTATTTCAATGATTTATGAATATCTCTTCATTATCGTCTTATAGATCATACAATTACTTTCCAGACAGTGGTACCTCTTTCCAAGGATAAGTTTTATCAGTATAAATTACAATTGGAATTCCAACAATTCTATTCTAACAAGCAAGGATTGGGTTACAATTGGCCTAGGACTGAAACAAGATACTATAGTTATAGTCTGTAAAAATGGAACTAGTAGCAACTCTACCACAATAGAAAATAATGGTGTAGCCTCGAAACCTGTTGATTTACTTAGTCTATATTTGGTAATTTTTGAAATTTTATTGTCTAGATCTATGATATAGGAAAAAAACAATGTACTTCAAAATTTATTAAAAAAGATTTTATCTGTGAAAAGCTGTTTTATTGGGAATTTTGAGAACATTAGAAAACGACCAAATCAAATTATGATTCAGATTATAATTTTTCAATGAAGTTCACCACTAAATATCTGTGTCAAATCCCAAAAACCTTTCCCTTACCGCCAGCCGGCTGCGCGACGTAAACGCTGTTCGCGTCACACGACCGTCGCCGTTCACTTCGCGCCGGTGCATCGCGAAAAACAATGCTGCATTGTGATTGGTTTGGATCTAGAACCCGCAACTTACACTACTTGTGAAGAACAGAGAGACCATGATGAACCTATCTGAGAGACGACGAATTCTCCAGCTTCCTACTCCTGATGGAAAACCCCGAATGTGGTGAACTATTAGACCCGCACATACGAGTGGTGCACAGGAGAACATGTTGGAACTCGTACAAAGAAAATATAGTGTGCGAGGTGAGCACTGAAATATTCCGGAAAGCAATGAAGGCGGGAAAAGTCAGGCTGATGTGTTGATAAGTACCTCGAACTGGCGATGTGCTACAACTGCTGCAGGTTTGGGCAAGTAGCGAGACACTGCAGAGAGCCAACGACATGTATGAGGTGTGGGGGAGGACGTCATATGGCCTGGGACAAAGAATGCTCAGCCTACAAAATGAAAAAAGGGAGGAAGAGAGGGAACATACAATACAGGATCTAACATGACAGCACAGCCTAACACAACAAGACAGGACACAACAAGCGACATACACATTTTACAAATCAACACAGACCGATGAAGGGAGGCCACCAGCCTCATGGAAAAGATGGCAGAAGAGCTAAATGTGGACGAGATAGTAGTGCAGGAACCATACAAGAGAAATAGCAGCAAAAACTTCCACATACATGAAAACACAGAGGGCACAAAAACAAACATATGGGTGAATAAGGGACTGCCAAACGCGACAGCTTGCATGCAACTAAACAACACGAACACCACTACCATCGAGATTGAAACCAAGAACGACAAACACTTATTTATCACGTCCATACACCATACACACGTCCCATGCAGAACTCGGAGACAAATTCAAGAACATTACGGACAGTGACGTCCTGCATGCGAAGCATGGGGAGGCACAAACACGGACCAAAGGGGAATTCAACTGCTCGATTGGGTAATGACTCAAGGATACGAAATAAAGAACGAAGACAGGCAAGGCCCTACCTACACGACAGCAATTGGAAGCAGCTACATTGAACCTACATTGAACATTGGCATGACAATTTAAAAAAAACACCATGGTACACGACTGGGGAGTACTAGAGGAAGGAGACACTCAGTGGGCACAGATACATCCATTACAAAATCAAAGTCGACACACGCAAGAAGTCTGCCAGGAAGATTTACGACCTAGACAATATGGACTGACAAACGTTTGAAAGATACGTACAAAGCAAAACCGCCAAGTTCATGTGGGAACAAACCTCAATCGAGCAGTTGGAAGAGAACTCTAAAATCTTCCAAGAAATATGCTCAAAGGCCTGCAAAATATGCATAAAAACCAAACTAGAGGAAGGCAACAACCAAAAATGGTGGAACTGCAGAATCTGAGACAGAAGACAAGAAGATGCAGAAGAAAGCAACAACGAGAACAGGACCCGATTAGAAAACACAGAGACATAGGAAGCTGAAACAGGAGTACAAAAGAGCCATACAGGATGCCAAAATCAAAGCCATCCAGACGAAAGTAGAAAGTAGAGGATGCCTCCAATAGCGAGCCATAGCATCGACTATGGTAAATGCTGGGGAGAAAGAGTCCAAGCAAAAACCCATCAAACTTATGCAAATACGACGACTCTTATACAAACAACGATGAGGAGACAAACAAATACTTAATTGAAAATACTTCCCGGAAAATAAGCCAGAACTCGACAGTGACAGCATGAGTCAAAGAAGAAACAGACAAATGAACGAGACAGACATAAACCGAACCGAACTGAAAGACATAATCGAAGGCTAAGAAAAAGAAAGCCACTAGCACCGACAAAGTCACAAACGAAGCCATGGCTCATGTATACAAGGCAACGCCCCAAATACTACTGGGCATTTATAAGGAGTGCCTACGAAGGGGATATTTCTCCAAAGTTTGGAAAAATGCAAACATATTCCTGGATCCCCAAAAAAGATGGCAACCCTAGATAAGCCTACTGCCTACGCTGGGTAAAGTCTTAGATAAAATAGTCAACAAACGTCTACAACTCAACCTGGAGAGGACAACCAATATCGACCAACGACAGTTTGGCTTCAGAAAGGGGAACCGGCACTGTAGAGGCCCTCCACTGTTTAGATAAAATCATAGACAGAAACAAAGAGCAGGGCTTACATCAGCTACTGGTGGGGTTCGATTTCAGGAACGCCTTTAACACAGCGGACGGAAGGACAGTGAATTCGGGAGAGCATATCAAGTACCTAGGACTAACAATCGACAGACAAAGAAATTACATACAGCACCTGAGAGTAACAAGAACAAAGGTTATGAAGATGTCTATGACTGATGACTGATGGGCATAATAAACAGAAAATGGAGACACAACAGACAGGTGCTGAAGAAAATCATGGACAAGAGAATCCGGCGATGCTGTACGCTAATGAGATATGGGGCGGAAAGGCCCACACAGCTTTTGGCAGGAGACACCTGAACTCGGAGGCAAGACCTCTATTCTTATTCTTGATGACCTGCAAAGCCTCTGCCACAACATCAAATTGTTCGATACAATGGCGGGATCTCCACCTCTGTGGATCGAAGCGGAAGAAAGAAGAACAGACTGGCTGGAGGTGACAGAAATCCATATGGATGCCAGTGTTAGCTTAGAAGGAAGAACAAGCATAGGCATTTTCTAAATAAAGAAGGCCAGCCGAACAGACACAAAGTACGAGCCCATCTAAAATGAGAACCGACAGAGCAGAAATAACCGCAATACTGGAGGGACTACTGATAGCTGAACAACAACAAGAATGGCACACATAAAAATTATCACAGATAGAAGGAAAATAATAGACAAACTAATTGCTGGAAAGATCAACGGCAGAATTGTGGCGCACACCTAACTAATGGACACGGAAAGAACAATTAAATTCGGAGGGAGGAAGGGACACAACGGAACAAATTACGGCAACAGACAGACAGACAGCCTAGCAAGACAAGCACAGAACCAAAACCAGATCCAGGACACACTTCGACAATATCAATACAAGGACAGAATAACATGCAAGACGGACAGAGATAGGAGGACAACACAAAAATTGCAGAGAACATGGCACTTGGAAATCAAGGGCAGGGTACAAACACTGTACCGAAGTAGGGATGGATAGGCTAGACCTGGGGCGTTAACGCCACCCAACTGCTCACAGAACACGGGAACTCTCAGCAATACCATATTCAAGCTGAAAGAGTTAGATGGTAAATGTAACTGTGGGATAAATGCCTTGGCGATATACACAGCATGTGCGCGAGGAGTGCGAAAACCCCGCGAGAAGGGCCGTCAGGATTGAAATCCTGGAGGAGTACGGACATCTTAACATCAGGCTCCGAGAAAATAACAAAGGGATAAGAGAGCAAATAGAAAACAATTTTACCCACTGTAATTTGACTCAAGAAAAATAAGCCATTGTATAAAGATACAGAGTGACCAATATTTTAATATTCCCGGCTCTTGTAGGAAATCTTTCACGAAAGGTGGTGATCGAAAACAATTCCACCACTTTGTAAAGATACGGAATGATCAGTATTTGACTATCCCCATCTCTTAATGTAGAAAATCTTTCACGAGAACCGGTAAGAGAAAATAATTTTACCCGCTGTAATTTGACTCAACAAAAATAAGCCACTGTATAAAGATACAGAGTGATCAATATTTTTTTATTCCCGGCTCTTGTAGGAAATCTTTCACGAAAGGTGGTAATCGAAAACAATTCCACCACTGTGTAAAGACATGGAATGATCAGTATTTGACTATCCCCGCTTCCTAATGTAGAAAATCTTTCACGAGAGCCGGTAATAGGAAACAATTTCACCCACTGTAATTTGATTTAACAAAAATAAGCCACTGTATAAAGTTACACAGTGATTAATATTTTATTGTTCCCGGCTCTTGTAGGAAATCTTTCATGGAAGCTGGTAATGAAAAACAATTCCACCACTGTGTAGAGATATGGGGTGATCAATATTTTATTATCCCTGGCTCTAAATGTAGAAAATCTTTCACGAGAGCCGGTAATAGAAAACAATTTCACCCACTCTAATTTGACTCAACAAAAATAAGCCACTGTACAAAGATACAGAGTGATCAATATTTCATTATTCCCAACTCCTGTAGGAAATCTTTCACGAAAGCTGGTAATCGAAAACAATTCCACCACTGTGGGAGGGGGTGATCAATATCTTATTATCCTCAGCTTTTAATGTAGAAAATTTTTCACGAGAGCCGGTAATAGAAAGCAATTCTACCCACTGTAATTTGACTCATTTGAGGTTGTATATTTGCCACCCCCTAGTTGCGACCCTGGGTAGCAAAAGTATGAACAGTAGCCCGGCAGTACAGTACAGTCAAATAAAATTTAACTACCGAATTACCACAATGTTGAGTCACATCGGGTAGATAAATTTTTTCTAATCCCCATTGAAATAGATTATTTACCTTTATAATAAAACAAGCAATATTCCGACAAGACGAACCATCTTTTCTTCCATAACATAAGCCCTTCGGAGCCTTGCTTATGCAACCATCCTTGTATAGCTACCGGGGCATTGAGAGGTCTTCTGGCAGTAGGCGATCTGAGCTGTTTCTTTTCTCCTTCCTTGATTTTTGGTTTTGGTGTAGATGCCTTAGCTGGTGGTGTTTCGTTACTAGGTTCTTGCTTTGGTACCTCTGGCGTAGCATTTGGATTGGTAATGTTTGCGTGGTTTAAACTATTTGGAGTTTGTGGATTATTAATTCTCGGCTGCAAGTGTTGATGAGCATAATCGTTGGAATTGACATTGACCGGCATATTGTATTGAGGATAATGTTGGAAATGTCTATGGGTCGTGGCTTGGAGCATTTGTTGACTGGTGATGTTGAGTAGAAGTGGAGATTGTGCAGGATGGGGTACGTTTTTGTTGTACATTTGAGAATGTTGATGGATAACTGGATAGTAGTGGGGATTGGTGCTTTGTTGATGCATTTGATGGACCGTAGAGTCGTTATTTGGTATGTTGTTGTCCTGGTGGTGGTTCATGGATAAGTTGTTTTCGAAAGTTTGGGTTTTTTGAATTTTGTCCATTTTGCTGGGATCGAGCCTGAAACAAAAGAAAATAATATGTTTTATAAAATAGACATTTCTCGAATGTTTTACTTTGAACCTTTGAATGATCCAATATAAAATTATTTTCCTGGTGAATCGATGCAATGCGGTACACCCTGCTGGGACCTTGCAAGTCGACTATGCACAGAGAACTCAAATGAAGATTTTTTTCGTTTTACGCTAGAAGCACAGCCTCAAATCAATCTTTTTGAATAATTTGCCACTGAATAGTAATTATTAATCAATTTCATATGGTTTAGTAGAGGATTGACATACCAACAGAACTCATAAAATCGAGTGATATGTAATTTACCAATGCCAAAACTCGTGAAAGAGCATAGGTTTAATGAACATAGTAATTAGCAGAAGGAAATTGCAACAAAAATGGAGCGGCGGCAAAAGGATAACGAAGTAACGAAACCTCACAAAATAATAATTAATGTGTGTGTTAATGTTAACTCTTATTATCGCTTTGCAAACCCACTAGGTACATAATTTTTCATACAGTAAATGTTTGATATATTGTCAAGTGAAGTGTTGTGCAAATTTAGGAGGCCATGCCACACTTGATTAATTACTTCATCTGGTATAAATCACTGCGTACCTACCTACTTGCACAATGGATTAGTTTTGAGATAAAAGTTTGACTTAGTAAAGGCTACCAAATGTTTGCCATATGTTGGACTTTTGCCATCTCAATATACTGGGAACAATTTTGGTGGTCTTTCATAAAGGATCCCTATTTCCGCTGGGACCGATTTGTTTTTGACACCAGGTACGGTTACCATAATTTCAAGAAGAGAGGAAGTGAGTATTTTTCTATACTTCGAAACCTACTTTTTTTTGTTCATTAATACAGAAAGATTCTTTTGTGTTTATTTATGGCCACTTGACACAGAAGAGGGAACGTAGCGTCATTATAAAAATCTTTACAAGAAGATTTCCTCCTGCTAAAAAATTCTATTTACATACTGAGATGAGATGGCGAGTGAAATTATTAAAAAGACATTCAAGCCAGAGGGAATAAAAACGAGACCCTTGGGGCAATATTTTTTGAAAGAAAAGACAAAAGAGTTTTGTATTTATATATTTTTGCATCTTTAATAAGTGTTATTTCTTGCAGTGTTCATTTTTGCTTACCTAAATTAAAGAGTAGGTATTAATGACAGAATTTAAGTTTTCACCAAAAGAAGTTCTGCATGACTTTTCATTTTAAATAAGAAAGAAGTAAGGTACAAGTTTTTCCTTTATAAAATAATCAAGCAAATATAGGTATACCAATAAGAAGTAGATTAAACAATGGGTTGTGACAATAACAGATAATTATAGTACATAGATTTAAGATATTAGGTATAATGCGAAATTAATTAGGCATAACCCTGATGGGTAAGGTTGGGGTTATTATGGATAATATTAGTTAAGTTTGCGTAATTTTGGATCTAAGGGCTTCACGTAGTCCATATATAGGTTTAAATTTTAGTGATGTGAAGACTTTTTTCTTATAAATATTTAAAAGTAAATAGGTAGGTCAATAACCACAGACGTTGTCCATTGTAATAGTAATTAACAAGCCAGAAAAAATCTTGTCCTTCATATATTTCTCAGTAACAGAAAATCGTTGCAAATAAAATCAAAAATAGATATAATTGAACGGTTGTTTGGGTTAAACGCTATATCCATTACTTTCTCCAATTTACCGTTCCTTTATCTTTGAAAAACCTCAATACATGCTAAACAGCACAAATTACCGTCTATTGTTAGTTGTTTTTACTTGAAGCACGTAAAAAATATTTAATTGGTTTGTATTGATTGCTAAGCCAGCTTTTGTTTATTGTCTATTCATATAAGGGCTTAATTGTTTTTATGGTTGTTGGCTGCTTAAAAACATTTTCATTGTTTCTGTTTAGAAACTGAAGAAATATCAATTTTTATAGGAATTTCTAGATGAAGATAAGCCAATCGACGTAATATATCTTGACTTTCAGAAAGCCTTTGATACAGTACCACACGAGAGACTCTGTTACAATACAAACTAAGCCATTATGGAATAAGAGGCAAGTACTTGCAATGGAGCTGCTCTTTCTTGAGCAAAAAACTTTTTATGTTCGAGTAAATGGAACCAGCCCGGATTGCTACCCAGTCGAAAGAAGTTTTGTTCTGATTATGTATAGCAGTTGGCAGTTGACGTTTGTAAAAATGTTGTCAGATGGCTGATGAGCAATCAAGCACAAGTTTTTAGTTTAAACAATTTGTTTTTATTAAAAAGTAAAAGTAATAAGTGAAAAATAAAAGTAAAACTCAACAGGTTATGGGCCGAGGCAGCCCAGGCCATTGAAAAAAAGTAAAATCTGCTTGGGAGTAGAACCAAAAAAACAGTAAATACATAAAAACTTTGATTACAAAGAAGAAAGGTGTGCTCAATAGTGTTCAAAATGGCGGAAGAATATCAACAAATTGAAAAATTATTAAACGAAGAATCATTTCAAATATGGAACTTTCAGTTCAGTTAATACTAATAGTTATTTTGAAAGCAAACTTTTTGTATGAAATAGTGAATAAAGAAAGTCTTTTCTCACTCAGACATGGAAAGTGAAGAGAACAGAAATGCATGGAGAAAGAGAGATGCGAAAGCACAGAAGCTAATAGCTATGTTTGTGGATAAAGAAATATATCATGCACATTATCAACTGTAAAAGCTCCAGTGAAATGTATGATAAACTTAAAAATATCTTTCAAAATCGACACAAGATCAAGTAAGAATGTAATTTATTACGTCAGTTTTAGTTTTATAACTTCAGTTATGAAAAAGGATGTGACATGTGACTTCACAAAAATAAAATTGAGAATTTGGCTCATAGATTGAAGAGTTTGAATGAAACCGTAAATTAATACATGGTGATAAGTGAAATTTTATCAACATTGCCCGAGCTACAAATATTTCATCAACGCTTGGGAATCCACTATTCACCACATTAACTGAACGAACATTGATAAACAGAAGCAGGGAAAAATGTTGCTACAACTGGAAGAGTAAAAATTATTTTGCCAAGTATTGTAAGAAAGAATCTGAAAGTGGAAAATGTTTCAAGTGTGGAAAATCAGGACATTATACTGAAAATCGTTTCTCAGGATCAAGGGCAGTACAGTGTAATATTTGCAAAACGAAAAATCATGTGGAAAAAGATTGTTTCTTTAGAAAAGACAGGCAAGGACTAGGACGAGGGCGAGACGAAGAAAGAAGAGTAGCTTTTTTGACAGAAGACCAGAAAGAAAATGTGTTCCCCGATAAAAATTATTGTCGACTCAGGTACTTTTGCACACATGACAAACTGTAAAAATTTATTTTTCGAAATAACTGAAACAAAATCAAACATTATAGTGGCCAAGAAAAATTAGTCGATGGTTTCTGAAGGCAAAGGTAAAATAGAAAGGGAGAAAGAACTGCATTTTGAAAAATGTACTTTACGTGCCTGAGTTAGCCAAAAAATTTTTATCAGTAAATGCAGTTACTGAAAGTGATGGAAAAGTTATCTTCACTAAAGAAAAAGTAGTAATCATGAAAAATAATTAAGAAATATTAACAGGACAAAAGGAAAATGGACTTTCTGTAATACATTTAAAAACAAACAGTGTACAAAGTTATCTAACTAACAGAAAAGAACAGGTAGAAAATTGGCACAGAAAACTTGGACATTGAGGATTGGAAAACTTGAAGAAACTAGTAAATATGTCTACAGGCATAACTTTCAGTAAAACAGACTTTAATGAATTGGAATTTTTGTGTGAAGTTTGTTCAGAAGCAAAGCAAACAAGATTGCCTTTTGAAAGTATTCGTCAGAGAGCAACAAGACCACTAGAAATCATACATACCGATGTATGTGGACCAGTAGAACCAACAACGTGGAATGGAAAAAGGTATGTGTTAACTATTTTGGACAATTATACACATTAAGTATTGCTCAATCTATTTGCTGAGCAGTAGAAATGAAGTATCGATTTACCGTACCATGTCTAAAAGAATTTATAAGGTACTGAAGCTGAAGCTAACAAAAATCTAAAAGCATCAAAAATACGTTGTGATAATGGAGGAGAATAAAAAAGTAATGATTTTGAAATTTGCTGTAAAAATAGAGGAATAGTTTTGGATTATACCCAAAGATTTTACCATACCTTATAGTTCACAACTAAATGGTAGAGCAAAAAGGTTAAACCGAACCTCATTTGACAAGGCTTGTGCATGATTCCGTGATTTTTGATTTAAAACTGGACAATAAATTCTGGGGAGAAGCTATGTACTTATGTGGCAGCCTATCTATTGAATCGAAGTCCTACAGAAACTATTGATGTAACATCCATTGAAAAATGGGCAAGCACAAAACCAGATCTATCAAACTTGCAAGTATTCGGGGCCACAAGCTAAAGTGACTTGGAAGTCCAAAAGCGGGACAAAGTCACAAAATTCTTAAAAATCTTTTTTCAAAAGGGGCTTATTTTTTGACAGTTCATTGTAGAAAATCAAACTTTCTTTTAAAATTATATTTAATAAGTTTCTACAGAAAAATTAGTTTTTTCCGTGGTCCACATTTTATTAATCATAGAAAAAACCTATTCGGCAGAAGCATTTGTCATATGTACCAGGACTACCAGGCAAGCATAATATGTATACAGGGTGATTTACGTAGCCCATGCATTAGCTTGCAGGTGGATTAGATGCTATTTCTACTAATCCACTTGCAAACTGGACAACTTCTAATGCACGGGCTACGGGCTACGTAAATCACGGTGTATATTGTACTAATTAGGTACAATAGTATTCGAAGGGATGTTATTTTCATCGAAATAATTAAAAATTTCTACCCATTCAAGATCTTTTTTTGCTCAGTCCAAAAAATAAGCCTACTTTCATAAATACAATAATTACTAACATATTGAGTGAGTTTAATCAAATACATAAATCATTTTCAATTATGGTGCATTAAGGGAATTTTTTTGATAGAAACTCAAAGTTTTTTTGTACTTGTTCCCAGGTAGTAGCTCTTAGCTCTTTTTAAAGAAATCCAAGCAAAATCCAATATGGACTCGTATTGAGTGCTGCACTGGTTTAAATATCCTAAATAATTGGCGTGAAAGTTTTTAAAATAAATAATAAAAAATTGATGGTTAGAATTTATTGAAAGCGGGATAAAATCAGGGCGCCTATTAAATAGGGACTCGTAGCTCGAAATCGGGACTGTCCCGTCTAAATCGAGACGGATGGTCACCACAGCTTATGCTAAAATCTTGAGGCACATTAAAAAGCTTGATGCAAGAAGTCAAAAATTTATATTTTTGGATCATTCGTTAAATGGTTATCGTTTATGAGATGCCGAAACAGGAAATATTAAGATATACAGAGATGTAATTTTTAAAGACTCGGAGAAGAAAATTGGAGAACAAACGGTAAGGATAAAATGTATAGGAGAAGAAGAACAAGAAAATGTAATAGAAGAGCCTTCAAAACAGACAGTACAGAAGAAAAAAAAACATTTTTACCATTGGGAGAATTAAGGCCAAGAACAAGACGAATACAGAGAAGAAAGACAAAATGAAGGAAAGCATACCAGAAGTAGAAGAAAAATAAAAATGCCAAGGAAATTATTAGACTACAATCTTAACTATGATGCTGATTATGGAGCATATGCAATGATAAGTTATGAAGAAATCCTACAGATAAAGACAAATGGAAGGAAGCAATTGAAGATGAAAAGAAATCATTACAATAGAACAACACTTGGAAATAAGTAGACAAAAACGAAGCAGAAAATAGGAAATTATACCAAGCAAGTGGGAATTTCGAATTAAGGATGATGGAAAGTATAAAGAAAGGCTCGTGGTTCGTGGTTTCCAGCAACAATATGGCGTTGACCACAAATACACATTTAGTCCTGTGTGTAACATGGGCTCGATAATAATAATTTTAGCTTTGGCACTGAAAAATGATTTAAAGGTCTCTAAATTTGACATAAAACGGAATTTTTATATGGCAAATTTGAAGAGGAGATTTACATGGAAGTACCAGGGCTGGAACTCTGTAACGGATAGAGATCGTTATCGCTATCGCTATAACGCTTGCTGTCTTTTTCTCTCCTGTCCAAATCAATAGAGAGGAGACGTCAATAGGATAGAGAAAATATCTCTACTTCGTTACAGAGTCCCAGCCCTGATTTTTATGAGGAGAAAGAAAATAAAAATAACATTCGCTTACTAAACAATGTATTCTATAGATTGAAACAAGCTCCAATGCGATGGAATGAAAGGTTTATTACTTTTTTGAGAGACAGTGGTTTAATGTCTCTAAAAAGTGAACGATGTTTATTTAAAAATCAGTCAAGTACTTTATTTTTGGCCATACATGTAGATGATGGTATTTTGGTAAGCAGTGATGAGATGAGAAAGAAACAGAAAAACTATTGAAGAATCTAGCAGAAGAATTTGAGTTCACAGTCACTGAAAATCCTTCATCATTTTTGGATATAGAGATAAACAAGGAAGATAATCATATTGAACTCGAACAGGCAAAGTAGGTGGAAACAGTTTTAGAAAGATTCAGCATGGAAAATGCTAAGAAAGCATCTACACCAATGGATTATAACCCGAAGAGTCAAGAACACCAAACTTTGTCTAAAAATTTTCCATACAGAGAAGCAATTGGCAGTTTACTTTATTCAACAGATAAAACCAGACCTGATTTGTCATTTTCAGCATTGAAAATCCTACAGATCAAGATTTGACAAATGTATAGAAAATAATGTGTTATCTATCATCGACACAGCAAGAAGGAATTTGTAATAAAAAAGGTAGCAGTGAAGACATATTTCTTATAGTGACTCGGATTTTGCAGGGAATATTTTAACTCACAAAAGTACCATAGGATATGTAATAATGTTTTGTGGAGGTTCAATCAGTTGGTGTTCAAGAAGCCTATAGTATCTCTACCAACAACCGAGGCAGAATATATTGCTGCTGCCGGGTGTGTTAAGGAACTAATATTATAACTGAAAGCTGTAATTGATGAACTGACAAATGGAGACATAAAACTTGAATTAAATGTGGACAACCAAAGTTCTATTAAGTTAAAGAAAAGTGGACAGTTTTATAAAAGGAGCAAGCATATTGATATTGATTAAAAAAAGGTACAAGAAGGACCAATAGACTTAAAATATTGTCAAACTCAAAAACAAATGGCTGATATTTTCACTAAACCCCTATGTGTGAATAAGTTTATTATTTTTAAAAATTTGTTAATGTTCGATTTAAAGTAGTCATGATGAATTGCTTCATCTAGGTATGCTAAGATATTAGAAATATCGCACACATCAACTATGAGACAAGCATTTGAGAATCAAACTGTGAAAATGATAAGAAAACTGTACACCACTTACATTAGCCCAAAACTAGAATATGGCCACACAGTTTGGTCTCCTTACTACATCAAAGACATGGATCTCTTAGAAAGTGTTCAGGGAAAAATAACCAAAATTCCAATAGAACTGAGAAACCTGCCCTATGAAACAAGACTACAAAAATTTCAGTTGATAACACTTAGAGAAAGAAGGGCCAGAGGAAACTTTATTGAAACATACAAGATCCTAAATGGCTACTACTATACAATGCTACTACCTACTCTACACACCTGAAACTAGAAGATATGCTACAAAAGAATCAAAACTTAAACCTTAAAGGATACCACCAAAAACTTGGAAAGGAGTAGACCCTTCTTCTTGGAAGAAAAAACTTCACAACTAATCGCGTAGTTTATAAATGGAATTCTTTTCTTTAAACCCAGAAACAGTAATTGGATCAAACAAGAACATTTTAAAAATAGACTAAGACCAAAATCTTTGTACCATTAGTGCATTATTTTTAAAGAAAATCCTATAAAAAGCAAAAAAAAAAACCACAAGTGAAAAATCAAAAGCGATGGACTCATCGGTCTTAGACCGCTTTCCATTGTCAAAACCATAAAGAAAAACTAATGTGTTTTAAATGTTGCCCAACTGAACGTCATGATCCAGAATAATTCGATTCATAAAGCTGGACTAAAATAATATTGACTTCCAGTCAAACCCAAACCTTTAGTGTACAATGACCCTTCTGCTACAAACTGTTTTGTTTCCCACATTGATTGATTTTACAATTAGCTGTTTCTTAGATAAAGCAACAAGTTGTAGTAGTATCAACGGAAATGTCTTGATTTTGATTTTCAAAAGAAATCGTCTGGAAAAGCGATAATTAATTGTGGATTAGATTTCCGCGAGAATGGATTCAAACTGTAGGTAATCGCCGAAGAACAAACCAAAATCGAGAAAATCTTGGAAGAGCAAGGTAACAAATACAAGAATGCAATGACTTGGGAGTTCAAGAACGTGCAACTTTTCGTCAGTAAGTTGGAACTTTCCAGCTAGAAATGGAGCTTTTAAAGTTAAAGCGATGTTCAAGAAGTCGGGACGAGAGATTAGAGCTTTGTCAATATGAGAATAAAAAGATCCAATAGTTATACATACATGAGAAATTATTAAATACTCAATGAAGTAGTGGTGGAGAACTATCGATTGTACTATCGAGCACTATCGATAGTATCAACTATCGAAGCGCTATCGATTGTTCCTACCGACTATCGATAGTTTTCGATAGTAGCTTATAGCGAATTCTATTCAGTAAATCCAGTGGCTCTCAGTGCGTAGTGAGTGTATTTGTTTGTGTTTGTTTCAATCAGCATGTGAAAGAAAAGGACAGAAACAGAAAAATATTTTTATGCACTGGTTCTGCTAATAGACAACGTTTTTAGTCTCGTATCCGAGTAGTGCGAGTGCGCCACATAGGTAGTGCGAACTGCACCGTTTCGTTTATTTTGATCAAAATTGTAAGGAAATTATTTCAGAAATTGGAATTTTTTAGGGTCGGTTTCTCAACGAGTCACCTCCGGGTTGGTTTCAACTTCTGGGTAAACGTGTCCAGTTGCAATTTTTACCCTGGAGTTATGCTTAAGGTTGTTAGAAGTGATCGATTAGAATATAGCGATATCAAAATATCAATGAGCATAAAGAAATAAATAAATTGCAGACAAACTAGAGGAAACGAAAATCCGGCGAGTCAAGATAGAGAAAAACCGAGAACAAGAACATTTGTGGGTTACGACTACTGATACCAGGAATTCTATTCCTATCAATGCTAGACTTTTCGAACTGAATGTTTTCTTTATAAACAACGTAGTTTGTGGGTTAGTAGAATCAGTGTAAATAAGAAATATGAGGTCTGTTCTCACAGGAGTCTCTGACAGTTTGAGGTCTGTTCTCACAAGAGTCTCTCTGACCGGAAAGTAAGTAGGTACATACATATAAATTGAGAGTATAAAATAATAATGAATCTAACCATTGAAGGGACATTAACCCTTAGGGAAAAACTAGAAGAATGATGTCATATACCTACGTAAAGACAATCTTTTTAAACTTCTCTGACACATACTATGTCTCAATTTTATACGATTACGATGATAAATCAAGACGTAAAATTAGAAATAATACCAATTTTCAATTACTTAATTTTTTATATGAGATAACATAATCCTACTAAATTAAACAAACTATACATTACCAATCCCATATTTGCCACAAACACGAAAACATGGTTCCTCTGGGGGTTGAAGAAAATAAAACCCGACAAAAAAAATCCTATTATATCACGCACACAAGGAATAACTACAACTTCCGCAATCTTTTTAGGTCACCATAATTACCGAACTACATCTTCAACGACCCTTCAATCCCGGCAAAGAAGGGTTTAAGCACTCGTTCTTAAGGGTGCAAACAAATACGGATTTCCGGTTTTTTCTATTTCCAGGATAAAACCTAAGAGAATGGCAACGGAATAATCGGGATTCGGGAAAGTAAAATGTGGAATCACATCAGACTGCCGGGTGGGTAAAGGCGCCGGCGCGCCCTATTTAGAACGGTGGAGATGGGGAACCGGGTGGTTTTGTTAAGGGTAACAGTGAGGGGTGTCTGGAAATTAAAGAGTCTTTCAGTTTTTAATGAGGGAAATTGACACGAAGATATTGTAAAAATAAGAAGAAAATTTCATCTAAAGATGAATCTAGAAATGCCTAGTTTTCAAGCTACAAACGATCCAAATTTGAAAATAAATTGTTTTTTTTTTTAATCAATATAAGTATAGAAACATTATACTAAGCCACTTTTCCAAATACTACAAAAGATCACAATCAAGTTTTCGTTTATTTCCTTATTCCTACAGCAGCATCCAAGTGGCAAGATTGAGGAAAAATACGAACTTGTTATTCTTTATTTGACCCCCTACATCACAAAGATTAAAATTTATTGTTTTGGAATTTAGTACTAATAACAAGAAAGGCTTAATAGTAAATTCTGACTCATAATAATTCTTGAACCTAACACCCAAAAGTCCAAACAATAAACCCATCACTCTTTATACCTACGAAAAAAAAAATCCCAAAAGAATTCTCAAGAGCCAAGGTGGTCCAACATACAACATCCATCCCGACCGGTTTATAAAACTCTCTACTATATCGGTTAGCATTACCAAAGAAATAAGGTCTTCCGTGAATGAAGGGTCAAGGAAATCAGAGGCGCAGCCGAGTACGAGAAAGATGAGAACAGGTTCGCCGACACCCTTATAAGTCTTTGGGGCGAACGTCTCCCTTTAGGATGACTATTTATTTGGGGTTGCAAAATGCACTTTTGTGTTGGTTTCTTGGAAGGATCGAACTTGGAAGGGCCTAGTGGCGCCGAATTTAATAGGCTTCACTTCACAGGTTGAATTTTTCACACGAAAAAAAGATTTCGGCATTTCATTTTACAATATTTGCTTTTATTGTATTTGAACATCAAAGAGCAATTATTAGATATAAGTTGCAAACCTAGATTGGAGCAAAGAATCGTACAATCGTCATTCAGAAACATATTTTTTAATTAAACTAGGTCATGAACGCGCTTCGCGCGCTTTTTTTTTTTAAATCAAGTCCATCAAAATAATTTTCCAGAATTTTTCCGACCCAATCCAGAAATTTCCATGCGTTTTCCAGACGTTTCCAGAAATTTCCAGACTTTATCTAGATTTTTCCAGATTTAGCTAGGCTTTATTCAGACCTGTCTAAATTTCTCCAGACCTTACCAAGCCCTCTCCAGACGTTTCCAGAAATTTCCAGGCTTTCCCAGACTTTATCCAGACTTTTCTAGACTTAGCTGGATTTTTCCAGACTTTATCCAGACTTGTCTAGATTTCTCCAGACCTAATAGAGCCTTTTCCAGAAGTTTCCAGAAATTTTCTGGCTTTTCCAGACTGTATCCAAACTTATCCAGACTTTTCTAGATTTAGCTGGACTTTATCCAGACTTATCTAGATTTCTCCAGACCTCATCCAGCCCTTTGACCTCTCCGGACTTCTCCCACTTTCCCGACTTCAAATACACTTTTCCAGACCTTATCCAGACTTGTCTGAATTTCTCCAGACCTTATCCAGCCTTTTTCCGACGTTTCCAGAAATTTCCAGGCTTTTCCAGACTTTATCCAGACTTTTCCAGACTTAGGTAGATTTTTCCAGACTTTATCCAGACTTGTCTAGATTTCTCCAGACCTAATAGAGCCTTTTCCAGATTTTTCCAGAAATTTTCTGGCTTTTCCAGACTTTATCCAAACTTATCCAGACTTTTCCAGACTTAGCTAGACTTTATCCAGACTTGTCTAGATTTCTCCAGACCTTATCCAACCCTTTCCTGACCTCTCCGGGCTTCTTCCAAACACTTACCCGACTTCAATTATGTATAAGTAATTGCCTATCTATGAGTCAGCACTTAATGTATGCAAAAGCGGTGACAACCTTGAACTAACATAAACATTTCGATTTTATTTTCAGATTGCCTTATTTGCATAATTAAAGCGGTGACAACCTTGAACTAACATCTCGATTTTATAGTCAGATTTGGATTTAAATCAAGAAAATTGTCTAAATTTGTTCCAAATGGGTTTCCGATTTTGGCTTCTTCTCTAGTAAAATATCCAAAGAAACTGTCCAAAATCAAAATGGGTGTAATTGCATTTCAACGCCATGCTCAATGATTTTTCACCATGCATGAGCAACTCTTATGGCAAAATTTGTAAGTAAGTAACATGGTATATCTGTGTTTCGATGGTAAGATAATTGGACTTCTTGTCAGTGTCACAGTATCTGGTGCCAAGTTTAATCTTCCATCTACCACAAAAATACCTGTCGCATTAAGTTTCGGTGAGAGCTTTCATATCCTACTTTGTTTTGACACTAGTTTTTCCTTCTTCAAACAGTTTATTTCTTCTGCAAAACTTTCTAATTGACACTGTCTGATCCATCTTGTTTCAGCTTCTTTTAAATCTTGTACTGTCAACTCTCCTGACTGACTTTTTATTTGGAGTATACTAATAAATTTAAAAACTCTTGCTGTTGCACCTATTAAACAAAGCCATTTTGAAAAATGGTCTATGTTAGGTAAAAACTGACATGTTACCACAGTTAATCCCAAAAATGTTGGTTGTAATTCTCTTGTGAGTTGAGACAGCAAATTTCCATCAAATATATCTTTTTTAGGCCATAACAATTCGTCATTTTCTTTAAGAAAATCAGGATCTGAGTGTCATGTTTTGAAATCTGTTATAACTGTACTTTGTGTGTCGTAGGTTCTTGTTGCAAGGTCTGGATTTAATTTAGAAGGTACCCATCTCCAAATTCTGCTATCAGATATTTCTTGAATCTCCCCAATCCTGTGAGCTTCAAATTGTCCATGTTTTATGTCATCTCTTTTAATTCAATGCAAAACAGTAGTCGAATCAGTCCACATGTAAATTTGGTGAATATTGATGTTCAAGACATTTTTCACAGTCACAAGCAATCTGCTTTCCAGTACCGCGGCTTGCAATTTCAGTCTTGGAATGGAAATCGCTTGAATGGAGAAACTCTTGCTCTGGCTATAATAAGTGAGGTGTCAATTATTTCTTTGGTAATTACTCGTAGGTGAACAGCACATGCAAATGCTTTTTTACTTGCATCACAAAATACGTGTAACTCTATCCTTCTAGCTTCAGGAATATGGAATGAATAACATCGGGGAATTCTTAGATCTGCAACAACTTCAAGATCATTCAACCAAAATTTCCATACCTTAAAAAGTTCTTCATCTATGCTGTCATTCCAACCGATGCCACTGCGCCAAATGTCTTGTATAAGTATTCTGACCCGAATTGACAAATTAACTACCAAACCTAAAGGGTTAAAAACTGACATGACAATTTTTAGAACTTGCCTCTCAGTCGGTCGGCAAGTTTTAGAAATTTCTCTGTCAACAGTGGTAATTCTGGAACAAAACGTATCCATTTTAGAATACCAGAATCCAGAACTCTCTGGATCCAAGAATTGTCCATGTTTAAGTCTTTACATATTTCAGAATTTTCTGATAGTATTTTCATAACCTTGTCTGAATTGGAAAACCAGTTTCTTAATTCAAATCTCCCAATTTTTGTACTTTTTTAACCATCTCAATTCTCTGTACAGCCCTTTCTTCAGTGTCTCAAGAATGCAAATATTCGTCTACGTAATGTTTTTTGATGATTGCATCAAGAATTTCTGGATCGTCTGTATGGTCTTTGGCATTGAGATTTTTCACAAACTGAGCACATACGGGTGAACAAGTTGCACCAAAAATCATTACTTGCATTTCGAAAGTTTTATATGGCGATTTAGTGTCAGATCTCCACAAAAATCTTTGTGATGCCTTGCCTGGTCTTCTTGTTTTATGCGAACTTGGTGAAACATCTCTCTAGCACAAAAGGCTTTTTGCTTTAGCGAAATTTCATAAGTACCTCCACCTGAGGCTGCAAAAGGTCAGGACCAGGTGATCATTTAGACTCATTCCATTGGGTTTAGCAGCAGCGTCAAATACTAATCGAAGCTTGTTTGGATTAAATACTGGGAAATGTGGTAAAAACCAACATCTTGGGCTTTCGATTTTGGCTTCTTTGTCTGTTAACTCGCTAGCATATCCTTCTTCAACGTAGCTTTTAATTTGGTTACCATATTTCAGTCTCAGGGTAGGGTCCTTTTCCATTTTCTTTTCTATGCAGTTAAGTCTTCGGAACGCTGCTGACTTAATTTCAGTTAAATTTAAAGTATCGGCTTTCCATAAGAGTCCAATTTCATATCTATTGTCAACTTCTCGTGCTGTCTGCATCATAATGTCTAGTGCTCTCTTCGCTTTCAGGTTAACTGAGGATACGTTGGAAACTCCAAAAGCGTCGGTCGAAAATAATTGTCTTACTAGTAATTTTTCGTTGTATATTTCATGTTCACAAATATGAAAGGAAAAATGTGTTCTGGGTATATTTGAATGCTGATTATTGTAGTGTCCATGAAGAATCCAGCCTTACATGGTTTTAGTAGCTATAGGTAAATACGCAGGGCCTTGAACAACTTTTCCAGGTACAATTAATCGTATATTATCTTGGCCAATCAAAAGCAGAGGTGGATTATTTATGTCTTGAATAGGTAAACCTGCTAAATGTGAAAAATGTTGCCATTGACTTTTCAAAACGTGTTGATTTGGAAGAGCAAGATTTTTCACAGAACGTACCTTTCCTAATTTAAACTGTTTGGCCTGATGGTAATTAGCTGATACAGGAATATCGAAACATACGGAATCTTCATTCGTTCTTACAACTTCGTTAGTCCACTGCACGTAGAAAGGTTCTCGTTTCCCCTGTACCTACTCGTAGACTTTCAAGAAGTGGCACATCAATCAGAGTAACTGTCAATGCCACGTCACTAAGAGCTACTACTGTTACTCTAGGACCATTCGGACCATAAAGA